ACGTGACCTTGGGGGTCACGTGACCTCGGGGGTCACGTGACCTTGGGGAGGCGACCACGTGACCTCGGGGGTCACGCGACCTCAGAGGGGTCACGTGACTTGGGGGTCACGTGACCTTCAAAGGGTCACGTGGGGTCATCTTGGGGTCACGTGACCTTGAGATGACCTTGGAAGGGGTCACGTGACCTCGAGGGGTCACGTGACCTTCAGGGGGTCACGTGGGGTCACGTGACCTTGAGATGACCTTGGGGGTCACGTGACCTTGGGATGACCTTGGTTACGCCGACGCCGACGGCGACGGCGACGGCGACGCCGACGCCGACGGCGACGCCGCTCAAGCCGGGAACGGGCCCCTAAGAGCTGCGCTCTAAAAGCTGTAAATACGATGATTGAAAAAAAAAGTTCCACAGACAACCGGAAGCATTCTGTGCGTTCGTCGTTTCGCGTATCGTGGGACTCGCGGGGACGGCGATGGCAGCGGACGACGGGCGTGGGACCTCTATTTCAGAACTGTCGTTCGCGGTACCGGCGAATTCTGTCTACCGTTAAAAGGAAAATTTGGGACTGATCAAAAGAATTGGTATTCATCCCGTACGACACGCCCGGCCACCAAGCCGATTTGTACGAAGACGTCGCCGAGCCGTCGCTGCCTTCTCGTGGCTGAAGATAATGCTTGCGCAAACGTCAAGCACGACGTGTCTACTTCGAGTTGAATATGCACGCGTACGATTTCTTTACTAGGTGCAAATGTCCCCAAAGCGTGGTGCTTCCCGACTCCGACCCGGGAGTGCTTTTGCTAGAGAAAAATCGACAGCAAACTTTCCAACTTACAGCTTACCGGCTGAATTATTAACTGTATTAATGAACAAGTCTTCAGCAAGAAAGTCGTAAACGTAGAAAAATGTTTGAACAGCAGTAGAGGCTTTAATACACGACGTTTCGGGAAGAGACTTCCCTTCTTCAAGTGTGTAGAAGGGAAGTCTCTTCCCGAAACGTCGTGTATTAAAGCCTCTACTGCTGTTCAAACATTTTTCTACGTTGCTGAATTATTACTAAGGAAAGAGATCCGCCAGAAAAGAGATGCCTCAGTAGCAGGAAAAAGAAGAAGACGCCGTTTCGAACGGTCGTGCTTTCATGTTCTCCGTTGAAAATCAACAATCGGCCTCAGGCCGAGGAAACCCATCTACCTCTGCTTCTTATACTGGTAACGAAAATCACAAGATGTACTGGGTGAACCCTGCAGCGGCACCCGTGGCCCCAAGAGACGTTCCCATTCCGGCAACCGGCCAAGATGAGTATAAGATTATACTTCCACGTTTTCCATCTGGGGCCTTGTGCGTAAACTCGGTCTTCCTCCACGCTGACCTCACGGGTCGGCCCTACCGTGCAGTTGACTTTCGCGATGGACTTAGAGGAGTCGTCGACCTCAACGAAGTGGTGTCTCTCGGGCAGTTTCAGATGAGCCATGTGTGGATGGCGACGCTGGCTAGTCCAGAAGCCACCGAAAAGTTGACAACCGCGAAAGAACTCAGCGTGAAAGGGAAAAAGTGTTTAATCATCGACCCAAACTCAAAGGACGTGAAGCTCAAGCTTCTCTGGCTGCCGTCATACTTAGAAGATAAAAAGGTCGTTGAAGCCTTAGCACCGTTCGGCACGGTTCGAAGCATGGCGCGAGAAAAGTGGCGCGTGCCAGGAATGGAGAACATGGAGACGCTGAACAGGGAGGTCTGCCTAACGCTGCACGACACCGTGACGTCGGAAGACATCCCTCACCTACTGAAGGTTTCCGGCATACAATCCCTTCTGGTGATGTCGGGACGACCACCCTTGTGTCTACGATGCAAGAAGGTCGGTCATATTCGACGACAGTGCCGTACTCCAAAATGCGCACGTTGTAATCGATTTGGGCATGAGAGCGACGAGTGCTTTTCAAGCTATGCAACTGTAGTACGAGGTTCTGGAAACGACCCTGACGCCAACCCGGAACTTTTGATGGATATTTTCGAGGTCGTGGATGCTAGCGGAGATGTTCTCTCCACTCAAGCGCAGCCCAGAGAGGCACTGCCTCAGAGTTCCGGCGAGAGCGAAACGCAAGTTGAAAAAGAAGCTTCGGAGGTACTCCAAGACACAACATCGACAGAAGCCGTGAAAGAATTTTCCCAGGAAGGACCAATCAAGGACACCTTGTCAACACCGGAAACGGAGGCACCGTAACAGTCAGCGGTGTCTGCAGACGGACTTACAACGTTTGACAACAAAAGTGACCCGTCAGCAATGGACCTAAGCCCCAGCACGTGCAAGGACAATAGTGACACCAAGAGGAAAAAACACCCGCCTGACACCATCGCGAGTAAGCGAAAAACCTCTCTTGCACACTAGAGTACATGACCAAACCTCACCCACCCCCCTCCCCTTGCCCTTCCACCTCCCCCTCCTCTATCCTATCCACACCCCCCTCCTCCCCTTCCATTGCCTTTAAGTGATAGCCTTCGTATTGTTACCCTAAACGTAAGAGGATTTAACTCCCGAAAGAAACAATATCATTTGAAACGTCTACTTGAAGACAAAGAGGTAGACTTTCTAGCCGTACAGGAAACAAAACTGTCAACGGTAGAACAGGTAGAACAGGCCATACAACATTTCCTGTATGACTACGAGGTATGCGTCAGCCATGCTGTAGGTCTCTCTGCCGGATGTTTATTGTTTATTAGAAAGTCTTTTCATTTGTCTGATTTAGCTGTCATGACAGACCTTTGCGGGCGCTTCATTATGTGCGACTTCCGAGTTTCCGACATAATGTGGAGAGTGATATGTGTCTATGCGCCGAATGACGTGAATGCTAGAGTAACTTTTTTTGATCACCTGCGACCTTATTTACTTTGTGATAGAATGGTAGTTCTGCTTGGAGACTTTAACTGCGTTTGCGACGGAGCAGACAGAGCTCCATATAAACTTCGAATTGACAAAAGTGAACGACTGCTACAGGACATTGTGGACGAGTCTAATATTTTCGATGTTGCAGCATTTCAGCTAAAGGAAAAACACTTACCATATACCCATTTTCAAAACACATCAAACGCAAGACTTGATAGGATTTACTGCTCAGTAGACCTTATTGACAATTTAAATGGTTATGCCGTAGATCCAGTTTTCTTCACAGACCATTGCATGGTATCAATAACAATTGGAAGGAAACGAAGAAAAAAGTGTATAAACTGGAAAGTATGGAAACTTAATAACCAACTGTTAAAAGATGAAAACTTTGTCGCAGCTGTGACCGATCTTTTTGAGCGAATAGGAAGAACAACTGAACATATATCTGTTAAATGGGAGCTTTTCAAACAAGAATTTAAACAGATGGCAATTGAGAGAGCTAGTGTATTAAAATTCCAGAAGTCTGAGACCGAGAGGACGTTGATAAGTAATTTACGTGCCTTGGTTCAACTTGAATGTCAAAACTCTGGACAGGGTTTGGAAGATATTATCCGCATAAAAGCCGAGCTTGATAAATTTCACCAAGAGCGTTATCAAGGCGCTGTTATACGTTCTCGTGCTGTAAAATATTTTTTAGGAGAACAGCCAACAAAGAAGGTAATAGGGGAGGAGAAAAGGTATGCGATGACTAAAGAAATTCAAGAGATAAGGCAAAACAACATGATTATTAGAAATAGCGAAGCTATAGTCGAAGCTTTTTCTGAACATTACAAAAATATATTCGGCAAAAAGATTGCCTCTACAGATATAGAATATCTAAAGGAGCTTGTAACATTGCTTCCACAGTTAGATAAAAAACACACAAAAGAATTGGAAGAACCGATCAGTTTAGCTGAGGTAGAAAACGCTGTGGATGCCCTTCCAACAAACAAAACCCCAGGACCGGATGGTATTACTGCAGAATTTTATAAACTTCGCAAAAACACTTTATGTCCCATCTTGCAGGAGATTTTTCAAGAGGCCTACAGAAACAAAAGTCTTCCGCCCTCATTTCTGCATACACACACTATTCTTATTCCAAAGACAGATGACCAAAACAAACTTTCACAAGTGACTGGCTATCGACCAATCACATTATGCAATGTGGACTATAAAATATTTGCTAAAATACTGACAAATAGACTGCAGCGCGTCATTTGCGAGTTAGTAGGGGATCACCAGACGTGTGGAATTCGTGGAAGGTCCATTCAGACAAATATTCATATTGCCAGAAGCGTATTAGAGTGTGTCACCAACAGCAGCTCTCAGGTAGCGATGCTGCAAGTTGATCTCGCAAAAGCATTTGACCGTGTTAGTCACAATGTTCTTTTTATGATTTTGTCGCACATTGGCGTTGGTGATATGATACTTCATGGCGTTAAAATGTCGTACACAAACGTTGTACACGCTTAATCATAAATAACAAAGTTACAGAAAGCATTCCAATTTGTTCTTCAGTTCGACAGGGCTGTCCATTATCTCCATTACTTTTCACTCTATATCTAGAACCTTTGTGCCAAAGTATAATAAGAAGTAGAAAAATACAAGGCTTTACTTTGAGTTACACTGAAATTAAAGTTCTAGCATATGCTGACGATGTCGCATACTTCTGTAATGATAAGAAAAGCGTGACCCATGCCATGGATCTCACTCGCAGATTTTGTGAGGCCACTGGAGCCTCGGTAAATCTAGATAAGTGTCGCGGATTCTGGCATGGGACCTGGGCGACAACGCCCAAGCAATACGAAGGCATAGATTGGAGCTGCACTCCGTGTAACTATCTAGGGGTACCATTGAAACACTACCGAAATAGCACGTCCTACTGGTCCGGAGTTGCGACTGAATTGAAACAACGAGCCAATAACTGGTCACAAAAGAATTTGTCAGTGTTTGCACTTTCGACCATCTGTAATATGTTTCTGGCGGCTAAAGTATGGTATGTCTTGCAGGTATTGCACTGTACACGAACTAGTATTCAAAAATTACTCAGGGTTTTTGCTGTTTTAGTATGGAAGTCCACTTGGGAACCCATGCGTCGTGACAATTTGTTCTGTCGTGTATCAGATGGTGGACTCGGCCTTCCCCATTTATTTATACGTCAGTTGGTTTCACGTTTTCTTTTCCTACGGGACCAGAAGCACCCTTTTCTTCGTGAAGTCATTCAGGATAGGCTCGCATATTACCTACCTGACTTTATCGTATCCACCGTGGGAGACCAAACCTGTTTGTTAGTAGGATATCTTAAAGAAGTAGTCGATGCTTTTCAGTTTTTATCAGTAAGGTTTTCAAAAGAATACTTAGTGACTGTTTCACGTAAAAAGTTGACAAGGGATCTTGTGAAAACCCTATTTCCAATGCCAATTTACCGCTCAATGTTTAGCAATGTTTCCCAACGGGATGTACTGCGCCGGGTAAAGAAGATGCCCATCCCCCCTGCAGCGAAAACTTTCTTTTTCAAATTGCATTGTTACGTGTTACCCACGAAGGTGTGGCTACGAGAGAAAGGAATATTCGTCCCGTGGTCAACAAACTGTACATTATGTAAAACGCCTGAAACCATTGAACACATTTTTATTCACTGTTGGGATGCCATTTTCTTCTGGGATATTCTACAGCGCACTTTAAAAAAGGATATTGATATTACACCCTATTCAATTCGTTTCCTGCCTGTATCATCTTATGATAACTTTCCGTATGACATTGTAATGCTCCTAGCGTTGTATAGCATGTGGAAGTCCCGCCTTGACATAAGGAATGAGAATTATCATCCAAAAACAGTACGCCTGCATTTCATTCAACTTGTTATCCGCGTCAGAAGCGTGTATGATATCCAAACTGTAGTTCCTGATTGGATGCCTCTGTTTAACAGTCTTGTAGACATTAGAGAGTTTTAACATGTGTAGTATGATTTTGTAGAGTGTACCCTGAACGACAACGTTGTGATCCCATAATTTCTTCTTCCATGTAATAAAGAAAAAAAAAAAAAAAAAGCCTCAGTAGCTCAGTGGGGAAGGCGTCGGCTTCACACGCGATAGGACCGGGTTCGATCCCCCGTGAAGTTTTTTTGTTTTTTTTTGTTTTTTCAAACATTTTTTGATGTTTACATATCTTTTTCTTTTTTTTACAATCATCACTGAAGAAGCGAACAAAAATAACAAGCAAATGTTGTGGACGATACTTCGCTGAATTAAATGGTATCAGATTTCCGTTTTGACACCTGCGAACTCAATGTAATCACTTTCTACAAAATGCAAGGAGCATATAAATCAGGTAGCGTCCGCTTTCCGAGGTGCCCGTAAATGTTCTACAGGAATTGCAGCCAGCCATTGGTCCCGATCCCGCTGATCTTTTGGAAACTCTGTCGCACAATGCCACTTTTTTTTTTTCGGATGCAGGACATGTGAGCCACCTCTTCACGCAACATCTTGGGTGTATTCTTTTCGGAGCCGATCATGGAAATTCACCACGGGCACTCACTACTCATCTCCAACTCCTCAATGTACAAAGCAACTCATCTTGGAGTACAGAACAACGAGCGGAACAAACATAACTGCTAAAGAATCGCACGCCGCATGTCGTGTCGTCTGCTACGGAGAGTAGAAAAAAAACAAAAAACGCACGGTCGGGTGTAGCCACGTGACTTCCGCCAGTCACTCTCTTCTCTCCACTTCTCCGACCTCCGTCGGGTTTCGGTTTCGGTTTCGAGCAGTTGCGTCTTTTGGCTTTATTAAAAAAATACGCTACTCTGATGCAAAATATTAATTGGGTAGTCCTCCGACACCATAATAAAGCGCCTGGCAAAAAATAAAAACAATTTTTTGGGGGGTGTCAGTGTCCCTTTAAGACTCAGTCAAATCACTTAGGGCCGGTTGCACCAACGCCGCTTAGCGCAAAGCGGAGATTAGCCGGGAACCTAAGCTTAGTTTCGGTTTCGTCCTGTTGCACCAAACTCGCTTATCGCTAAACCTAGCACTAAACTACGCTTAACTTAAGCGCTCAACATTGGGCGCTTTGCTTTTGGTTGTTTCTTAATCCTGGATTAAAAACATGGCGGCTGGTTTGTCGCGGTCGACGCGGTGGACGAAATTGGTTGTGCAAAGTGTTTTAGGCTACATCAGCGTGAAAGTCTCGACAAAATGACCTTCGATTGTGACAAGGATGCAAAATATTGTCGCGTGAAGTGTTTATCGACCCCTGTTTTCAAGTTGGCTCTCCACTCTCAGGGCGTGTTAGCCCTAACCGAGATACGTACGGATCTGTGTGTCTGTGGGGCTCACGGGGCTCACGTCTGTCTTCCCGTTGGTTCTTCTGTCAACGAGCTTATTCGTATGTACTCACTAATTTTCGCATAACCGTAACGTATTGTTATTTACCACCTTGTTTATTTACACTTGCAGCTTGTATCCTTCAATTCGATCAGCGCGTTGAAACATGATCTCGGCGATCAGCTGATTGTCGACACCTCTGCCGTTCGCATTAGATTGTGGCGCTTTTAAGTAATAGAACGACGAAAATTCAATTTCTTTCGTTTTCTGAGTTTTGAGACAATCTTCAGTGAATTTTCCTAACCTCGCGAGTAGAATCTTGGCTTCAGAAAACTGTATCGTTCCATAACCGTTACTTTTTTGGTGATCGCGATTTTTTAGGAATATTTTTGCTTTATATCTTTCATTCGTGGCGACGACAAATCGTAACGACTACTATGCTAGATTCGTTCATTGCTGTATCAGGGCAGGCTGGGGCAGGCGATGCGAAGATACGACTGTTCTTATCGGCACGATGTGATGTACTAGTGGGAGTTTTTTTTTTTTTTCTGAACTCGACAGTGTGAAACTGAAGTCCGTTTGAGGCTGCAGCGGATGTTCAACGACGGTACAGTGCAGTTCTGCCACCTTGCTGATAGCAACGAGTACCGTCGATGCAAGGTCTCGTGACCTGACCTCTCGACGACTTCTATTCGACGATTTCCGGGCATTTTCGCAGCTGCCGTGGCGAGTTCGTCACTGTTTTGAACTTCATCGGTCTCAGGTTTGACTTGATTTTAGTAGTCATCTTACCTGCCTACTTATATCCATGATGTTTTGTCTTCAGCGATGTAGCGAGTAGTGTCCTTCTCGCGTTCGGTGAGATTTGGGGCCCCCGATGGCTCCTTCGCCTCAAAATGTGAGCACGAAAACTACTACCACTGTCAAAATAACCTGTTATCAGCCGATATTAAACACACAATCAAAGATGTTAAGAGCATTCGTGTTTATTTGAAGCTTTGACTTCTGTTATTGAAAGTTAAACGAAAAAATGATTGAATTTGGCGACCTTTAATTTGTTACTCACCGAAGAAATACAGCGAAAAGCAGACGCCGACGACAACTACTGCGGCAGTTTTTTTTTTTCTTTTTTTTACATCACGTGATTCCTCTCCACCAATCGTATTCGTCCCTCTGAACGTTCCCTAGTTCGCTCTGTTTGTCCCTAGATTCCCTACGCAAATCCAGCGTTTAGCTAGGGGCGCGTCTGTAAAGCCGGCTTAACGTTGGTGCAACCGGAATTTAAACCCGTGCTTACCTGAGCTCGGTTTAGGGCGCTAAGCCGGCTTAGGAAAGTGCCGCTTTGGGTTAAGATAAGCGGCGTTGGTGCAACCGGCCCTTAGAGTTCTACGTTGGAAAGTCGGTAAGTGTCTTTTTTTTTTTTTCCGAACGTTTGTCATTTTGTTTTTTACATACATAACATCCAAAGTTGTATGCTGCATCTAACTAATAAAATTACCTCAAAGTTGAAATCAACAATCTTAAGTTCGGGATTGATATATTTTAACTTTTAGCGAATTTTAGAAATGACTTCGCTTTTTGGATGTCTTTCTTGCTTGGTTTTTCTTTCTTGTTCAAGTTATGTCAGACTTTATATGTTTCAAGTTTTTAAGAAAACGTGACTGCACGAGTCAAAGAAAAGCCGCAGTGTGATCAGTCGCAACGAGCATCCTTTTTTTTTTCTTCGACTCCGGGGACTTCTTTATTCCTCCGCGAGTTGACTAACAAGAAGGCTAAAGCCGTAATAGTTTTATGACTCTTCCTCGAGACTATTTAAGCAAATATTGTTTGCGTATTTTATTTAAGAGGATTGCCGGAACCTAATATTTCTTAGATTTACGTGTATTTAGTCAGACTAGTTCTGAAATTCACTCTATGATGTTTGCGTAAAACGCTGTGTCTGAAGGTACGTCGGACGTATCCGGATCCCAGAGTCTAAAGCTACGTTGGACGTACCCGGGACCTGAGTCTGTGGATGTAGCCGCGATTCGCATTCTGGTGTTCGGGGCACCAAGTAGTATGACGTGTTGCCGTCCCCGAGCTCGACGGACTGAACTGTTGAGTTTCGAGAGCAATGTTCGAAAGAGGGTATGAAACTGACGAAACATGAACCGTCGTGTGACGTTTCCGGTCGTTTCCTTCGCTGGCGTTCGAAGTTTCGTTTCGCACAGACGTGCGAAGCATGCACTGTGTGAAAAAGGATTGGCGGGTCACGGTTCCTTCCTACCGCTTTCTGCGTTTGTATGATACGTTCCTTTACTTGCGCCTGCTGACGTAAAAAATCGACGAAGAGCGAGCACTGCCGAGCAGCTTTCGGTTTTTTCGCCATTAATGATTCTGGAAATGCAAAACTGTACTAATACAAACTAGAAACGAGTCAGCTCAGCTTCCAATGCATTCTGCCACCAGCAAGTAGAACTGCTTTGACGTCTCGTGCAAGCTACGTATACCAGACTAGACTATCCTATTGTGGTTCTGCTACATATAGAATAATAATTTCCAATGGAAGAATTGGTCACACGTGCGAAGCACGTGTACCCTCTTTGTGATCGTAACACTTTTGTCGTGGGCGATGATAATAATAATAATAATAATAATAATAATAATAATCATAATAATAATAATAATGCTTGATTCGGTTTATGAAACCCGGATAACAGAAAAAAAAGCTTTTACCCATACTATTGAGGCTCACTGTACCCGCACTCAGATAAATAAAATAAATAGTAAATCACACTGAAAATGTACACTGGATTAAGGTTTGAATGTCTCATTATAGTTTTTTCAGGTGGAGGGTTGCACACTTGAAGAATTCCTTTATGTGCTTTTTTTCTTCAAAAGGCCCTTGCATAACAGCGCGTGGGGGGGAGCGCCAGGGCCGGTTTGCTCATCTTGCGGCTGCGGACGCGGCTGCGGCCGGGAGGGATTTTTCTGTCACGTGACCGGCTCCATGGGGACAAGAAAGTACCTAGCGTCCCTTCATAATGGCGGAGAAATCCGTGTCGCTTCGAGTACAAAGGTCTAATTTCGCTCGCAGAAACTGACTGCACAGGCTTTCAACTGAGGCCCAATTGACCGCCCCATCATACGTTAGGAGCGGCAGGTAAAGTTACGGCCAGGGAACGTAAATATAAACCAAAATAAAGGAAAAATCACGCAAAACAAAAGCGGTGGTTGTGTATTTATATATATATGGTGCCAGCGCCGGCACGAGCAGCGTCTGCTGTAGTCGAGAGGAGTCCGAAGAAGACAACGAGCTGAATGGATGCGTTGGAAATGGGCTCCGTAAAGGAAATCTCAATGGCTAAGCCTAGCCGGGAATATTTTGAAACTATTTCTGCTTCTGCCCCCTCTGCACCAAGTACAACGGTATACAAGATTTTACTGCCACCCCTTCCCAACGGTAAGCTGCTTGAAAATTCACTGATTCTTCATGGGGACCCATCAGCCCGGCCATACCGCATCGAGGATTTCGGTCCTGCTTT